GCTGCTTGGCCTGCTGTGTTCATCCAGCTCTACACCTTGTTATCTCAAACAACTTAGATAGTTTAGGTAATGAAAACAAAACAAAGTAAATATTCAATGCTACAGCACCACTTCTAGACCACTTGCCACACATCATTTAATGAAATCTACCTGAAAACTTTGAATCGAACATCTGCTAACTCAATCTGGACAAATGACAATTTCCAACAACCTTGTACAACTAATTACACAGCACTTTTCAGTGAAGTAACCATCAAAAGTACAGAAATAGCCTTATTGTTTGATAATACAAAACAATGAATGTGAGCTGCAACTCACTATGTTATTTGTACACATTTACAAGCCATTCGAGGTTCAATCAATCATTTAGGAAGTCATCGTAACCCCCTAATTATTATAGCTTGGATATACTGCAGCTCAGATATTAAATACTCCAGCACAACTGCTATTATGTTAACTCTATTTTGAATGGTGCAATGAAAAATATTAAAATGCAACTCTAAAATCTCATTTACAAGACATCATTTTTTAACTCCACCTGAAACCCATATATTGCCTATACATTTAATGCAATAATGTTGCTAGATTTCACAGCCACCCAGAGTCAAATTATAACCTCTATCTTATTATTCAGCCAATAGCAAGCAGAATTGGGTAGGGGTTTGGCTAGTACAGCAAGCTTCCCACTGAACTGTCTCAACAATCAATTGGTTTCATTATCTTGGGAATCAAGTGGTTTTTCCTCAATGGTTTAGGGACATTGAGAACAATTAACAAGTATTCTGCTCTTAGTCGTCATCGTATAATAAATCCAGTAGAAATAATCCTTAGAAGATTACCAACATTATCAAACTTCAAATGCTTACAAGATACCAGAGAATGCATTTTAAAAGTTAGAAATATTGGAAAAATAGCTATTGTGAACAACAGCCAGTGTGAAAGAACCAGGAACAGTATTTTTGTGGCCTAGAATTCATAGGATCAGCTGGTAATTTCACAAAATTAAAAACTGAAGAACTTGTCAATATATTTGTATTAAGAGAATAGGCAGATAGGAGTGTTAAGGTTCAAGGGTGACATGCTTATTATAAGAGCAGATAATAAAAATGAGTAAATTAATTGCCTCAGTTTTTACAATGGAGGTAGATTCTGAATTTCAAAAGTTGGTGGTTACCACTTAAAAATAGAGATGTTGCAAAGTTATTTAACTCAAGATATTTAAATCACTGGGATCTTTTCATACGCTCGTTGGGAAATAACCAAGAGTCTGGCTTAATTTTCCAGAATACATAGGAATGGTTAAATTAGGCCAAAGTCCTCAAAAAAAGGATCAGTTAGTCTCACATTAGCTATTAGTAAACTACTCAACTGTACACATTACAAAGTTCACAAAGGAACTGGAGTAACAACCATTCAGCACAGATGGAAAAAAAGCAAGTTATTTTGACCAACATTACAGAATGAATTGAATAAATATCAGTGGAGGAATGGAAGTTGAAATGGATTTTCAAAAACATTTGGAAAGATATATGTAAAAGATTGACACCAAAAACAGAATTAAAGGGAATGTAGCAACATAGAGGTAATTAGAGGGTAGGAGCAAAAGATTTGAAAGATGTGGCAAGTAATATTTTCTATGGTTCTGTCTTACTACTGCTCTTATGTACTACATCCATAAATAATCTAGATTTGAGCCTTGATAGATCAGAGATTTGCTAATGACACCAAATCGTACTGTGTAATACCTGCCATTACCAAGCTCACCTAGTCCCATTTCTGTAACATGACCTAACTCTGCCTCATATCTTACATCACAACTGATAACATTTTTCATGCCTTAATTACCTCTAGGCAACTATTTGAATGCTGCTGGCTCACTCCACATTCCGTATCCTCGAAACTTGAGGTTACCCAAAACTTGCCCATATCCTGTTCACCAAAACACTGTGGTCACTAGCTTAAATTGCTTCCCTGTAAGCAATGTCATCATTCTAAAATTTTCTCTTTTTTTAAAAAAAAAAAAATCCCTGGCTAGCCCAATCCTACCTTTGTAGTCTTTTCTAGCTCTACAACGCTCAAAAGGTATCTACACTCCTTCAGTGCTGGTCAAGAATTTTGGATTTTAAACACTCCATCATATATAACCACAGGTCAACTGCCAAAGACTTCAATCTCTGGAATTCCCTCCTTGAACCAGTCCAACTGCCTGCATCTCTTTCCTTCAAGATGTTTTTAAAACCCTACTACTTGACTATATTGGTATTCTGCCCAATCATCTCCTCATATAGCTCAATGCCAAATTTTAAATCTCTTCTAAAGCACTGTGAAACATTTCACTATGTTAAAGGCAGTATGCAAATACAAGTTTTGATTATTTCTGGTTGCAAAATGCTGTAGCAGGACATGGATAGATTAGTTGCCTATAAAAAGCTTGGGCAGATGCAGTTCAACACAGAAAAGAGAATTTAGTTGGAAAGAATAAAGCAAGGAAATACAGACTTTTAAAATGTATGATGTTAAATGGAGCAGAGAAATCTTATTCTCAGATATACAGATTCTTAAAAAGATAGACATCGGGCCAAAATCGATAAGCAAATCCTTGGTATGCCTATAAGTACAGAATACAAGAGCAAGAAAGATGGCGCTTATACTGCAGTGGTAGTGTCTCTACCGCTGAACCAGAAGCTCCAGGTTCAAGTCCCACTTGCTCCAAGTGTATGATAACAACATCTCTGAACAAGAGGCTTAGAAATATCTACAAAAGGATTAAAAGAGTCAGTATTGGAAGTGTACAGGACCATAATCAGACTGTTTTTGGGATTATTGTGCAACTTTGAACACCCTGAAAAAGTAAAGGTACAATGTAGATTTGCAACGATAAAACGACGAAAAAGCTGGTGGACAGAGACTTGAGAAGTTGGATATTTTCACTAAAGCGGTAAAGAGCAAGGCACCACCCAATAAAGAGCTTCAGAATTACAAAAGGTGAAGCTAAAGGTTAAAAATTGATAGATTATTTCTGTAGGGACTGTAACAGTTAACAAGCGGGCAGAAATTAAAAGGAGGTGAGAAAGCATTTCTTATTTAAGACAGTGGTTATATGGAGAATGCACTGTCACAGGCCATTGGTGAAACAAAGTTTTGCCATTCTTTTATAAATAGGAATTAAATAATTGCTTAAAAAGAATATGGAGTACGGAGAGAAAGGAGGTGCATGAAATGACAAATAAAAACCGAAAGAACTTTGGATGCTGTACTAAGGAAGGGACACCGGACACGAAACGTTAACTCTGATTTTTTTCTTCACAGATGCTGAGCTTTTCCAGCAACTTTGTTTTTGTGCATAAAATGACAATATTAACATAAATGTCAAGCAAATGGCCTGTTTCTGGACCCTGATATTTTATGATTCTTTGAAAGCAGGGCAATACACAATTATGGTTAGTCAAATACCATCTTAAAATGTTTTAATCATTTGTTGGCCTCACGGGTATCTAGCACACCCAACCGGGATGATTCCTGGAATGAGAAATCTAAATTCTAAGAATTAAATCCTGCTTCTTTTCTTTACAATAGGGGCTTCATGGTGACAATTCTAATTTTTAGAATTCTGAAGATGGCTGACATAATTAAAGTCTCCTTAAAAAAGTGGGCCAGTCAACATGTAGTAAATTTTCAAATAAAACTTTAGAAAGTAAGTGGTGCAATAGGTTTCCCAGGAAGGCCATCGAAGCAAATAGAATAAATTGGGTCAATGAGCATCTAAAGACATTTCTGAATACACCTCAAGGAATGTGACAAGTTTGATTGGATTTACATCCTTTGGAAATGGCAAAATTTATCAGGCTGAATTGATACTAAAGAGAATATGACTTAACACCTGCAGACATTTGTATATGACAGGTCAGTCCCACATACTTCACCTTACAAACTGCTGGGATCTACTCTAACAATACACACAACCTATGCACTTCACTCTGGGCTAATAAATCAAAATGCAAGAGGGTTTAGTACCTTCTCTTGCTAATTTCAGGTCTAGAAAGCAGAAAATTAGTGTAACATAATTAATAAGTCTCACTTTTAACATAATGGTAATTATAAATCAACATTCTAAACGAGGCTGATTGTCCTTTACAGTCAAAGCTGTTTTTGATTTAAGGGTTTTCTCAAGCTCTTTGTAGAAAAATGCTAACTGCACCTTATTAGCATGTGAGAGGAAGTGAAGTCAATAGAATAAAATACCTGAGGGAGGGCACCTAAGGTCACCAATTATTAAGGTCTGTACAGTTGGCTGGTAAACAGATCAGTTCAGGAGTTCTTCTCATGTTTGCTGCGAAGGTCATCTGGTCTTTATTTTCCTTTGTTGCTACCATGTTCAAATATGTGAAACCTTTTCCAAACCAATGGTTTATAGAACTTTCAAAGGTATATTAGTTATTTGTGAGAACAAAGTAACTGGTTTCTGTACAATTTTATTAATGCCTGCAAGTTCTATAAGCAACATACCTTTCATTTATTATCCATATACACTGAATTTTATATTACGTCAAACTTAGCTTATAATTCTAGGAATTAAGTCAAAAACTATTGTGAATGATAATGTTCAGTGAAGTTTGAAACAAAAATCAGCAGGTAGGTCAAGAAGTGCTATTCGTAAAAGGATAACACCACAAATAGTGACTCTGGCCAGAACACACAAAAGGAATCATATTCAAAGTTGAATGTAATATAAATATTAAATTAAAAATTAGTCTGAAATAATGATTATCTAAATTTATCATAAGTGTACAAAATCTTGATAATTTATTTATTAATTAGTCCCCCTTATGATGGTATGGAAATGCTTCTGAAGCAGAAACTGAATCAGAAAACCATACCTGTCATCTTGTAGTTAGCTCTCAAGAGTATCAAATTTGTTCTTTTTTGATTCCCAAAATGAACCTTTACATTCTAATTTAAGCCAATAGGTATGGGGCACTGGCGGTGCACACTTCAACATACAAAGGGTGACCTATTAATTAATTGGCCAATATACCAAGCCTTTTCTGAATAAAAGAAGTTTTCACAGTGAGGGCAATTGTCAAAGTTGTTATAGGCAAATAATTTGTATACGTTGGGATCAATAAAAGTAACAAAACAGAGTGAAGTTTGAGGTAATAGGCTGACAAGCAATCAGAATGACCACTAATCTGAGTGAGTATTGGATGCAAAAGACCGCTGTGACAATACAAGGGACTGAAGAACACTGCAAGAAAATGGGGAGATGGGAAATTAAAATGACATTGCAAGTGTGATGGATAAAATAAATATTTATTACTTTTTGTGATGCATAGAAAGCAGTTATTTGAAAACATTTTTCTGCTCCCTCGTTAAATAAAATTGAAGTAATTTTTGGATTGGGGTTTGACATGACAGTATTAGTGCTGTCAAGTTTTAAGCCCAGACAACAGCATTACTATCTAGACTTATTTAATCCCAAGTAAGTAGAACCAACATAAATACTAAATTTACAAGCTTTGATTGATCTTAGTGGCCCAAAAGGAGTAAACACATTTTTTTTAAAAAAAAGACCTACCTCTTTTGTCTCAAAGTTGACAAAACAGTAGCCCCTAGGTTGCCCCTCAAGTGGGCCCGACTTGTGAAAAAGGAAGTCAAATTGTTTCACTTTTCCAAATTTCTGGAGTAGCTTTAGAAGGTTGTACCTGAAACAGAGATGGAAAATACTGTCAACAACACTTTGGTTGTTGATTAAGATTTGAATATTAACAATATCAAAGAAACCTGCACATATACACAATTTTAATGAGGCTCCAAAGTAGCCTGACCTGTAAGCGCAAATAGTATTTTAACAAATTTACTGAGGGCTTAGTCTAAAGCCTTGCTCCCATCCCAAGCTGGAATGTTTTACTAAGCTCACTAAACACTAACATACAGGAACTTGTGTTCAAGACATCAGTAGCATTGCTGATATCTCTCATATATGCATCACAGAAAAAAACCTCAAGTTTAATTCACTCAACCATGAATAAACATTTCAGCAGGAATACAAGCAGCATAAGTAATAAATTCAGATTGTCATAGGAGGGCATATTTAGTGGCAGAAAGGATCAAATGTAAGAGAGAAATATTTTCAGTTTGTCAAACGAAAGGGGTAGAGAAAGGGAATATGTAACAAGGGTTACATGACTGGGAAAAACATTTATTGCGCTTAGGGAATAAATTTCTTTCTCCTGCCTGCAAATTGTCAATAAAATTATTAACAAATACTCTCACATGCAATCTCTTTCTGCCTTTTTTCTTTCCCTTCAGTTAAATTGGAGCATTTAAAAAGATGTTAGATAAATTTTGTTTTTCTACAGCCTCATCAGGACTATTCTTAACACTTTCTCTGGTTGGCCTCTCCCTGCAAAAACATGCTCCTACAATACAATAGTAAACAAGTCAGGTTAGATAGGTGCTGCTTTGGGGAAATGCTCTCTACTACTCCTACTGATTGCGCAGATTATCATGAAATAGCAGTACGCAAAAGCTGACTCTCTCTTCTACTGTACCTTTCTCATGGCAAGTTTACAGAATGTAAAAAGGCAGACTTAAAATCTGACAATTACAAATCTTTCTGGAAGAATAAGCTTTAAAAAATTGTTTTGAACAACTATTCATTTTTAGGACCAATCTTCTGCTTTGAAGGCATGGCGAACAAGCAGCAATGGATTCAACAGCTGCAAACAACTTTTCAAGTTATTTCCACTTAATTCACTGCCAGGTTTAAAAAAACATTTATCAGTGCCTCCAATTTTAAAGAGCCATTGTAGTAAATATGAACCCCCCTCCACCCCCTCCTGGCTTTTCATTGAAGCATTAGACAGCAACTTTCTATAAGTTTTCAGTATCACAATGGGAAAGCCTTAACTGGGAAGTTGATAACGGATGTATATTGAAAGCTGGTAGTGAGAAACAAAATACAGCCAAACATCACATTTAACATCACTGGCTAACAAAACCAAATGTCAATGGAAGTAACGTTATTTTTGTGGCTCTGCCTTCATTCTTAGCATACAAATAGTTTAGAATCAAAACAGACTAACTTGACCTGAACAGTTTAACTGTGCTGATAATCCAAATGCAGTAGCATTGGTGTGTTTATCACCAGGTTCTCTTATTGCCCTCCAGCAGTAAACTTCACTTGCCGGGCTGCTCACCTTACCAGTCACCACCCACTGAAATTGAACAACGCATACATAGTTTTCATCAAGAGGGTTTAAAGGGCTTTAAAAAATTGCAAGGAATGCACTACAAAATAGAGATATGGATGTTAAGAGTGAGAGACAGAACAAAGTTTATACCCATTATTTATGGTTTGTGATATTTTAACTATTAAAAATACAGAAATATTACATGCACAGGAGAGATAAGGAGTGGGGCTGAAAGGAAGAGATCACATTCTGAGACAGGCATTCAGAAAATCAACAGGGTAATCAAATACCACAAGAAAGGAGTGAAAACATGATGTGTTGAAAAACTCAAAATTGG